CAATTGCATTACTTTTCTCCAAAATATGCCAAATATTGTTAACAGTTTACCACTGACAATGGACGATTTATGCGACACGCTTAAAGTAATATTTATTGGTGCACGTCCTCCTCAACGCATTCAACTTAAGAGAGTTCTTACAGTCCGAAAGAAAAAAATCGCCGAAGCTCTTTATTGGTTAAAAAAATACAATAGACTTTATAAGGACGTCGACATAAATGAAGATAATATCATGCAATTGCCAGAAGACGATATACCAGAATCCATCATGTTAACAATGGAACAAAATCCAATGGATTTCTTCTCATTAGTGCCGTTCTTGATGTAAAGGGTTCATTGGTATCGTTGGATGAAATTAATAATTACGTTTTAACAAAGGTAAAGAATGGCGGAACAGATAATCAAATCGACGTCGACAACGTCTACTTAATTCCGCATTCTTCGAAACTTGTTAATGAATATTTTAACCCAAAACTATTAGCAGGTCTCTATCCGACTTTGTTTTGTTATGGGTGCGATGCACCTGAAGATCAATCAAAGCCAATCAAAATAAGCGTTCGAGAACATATTCGTTATTTGTTATCATATGATGACCGACGTTTTGAAACGAATCATAGTTTGATTTTTTTAGTCTTTAACATATTACAAAGACGTGATGCATGTCTTCATGCTCAACTTATAGCAACGAAACCTTATTTTCGATCATCGACCCAGGAAGTTCAATCATTAAGCAGCGCTGATATTGGAACAGCTCTGAAGAATATTTCTACAAGAACATATGACAAGCATTCTAACAAGGGATTCGGCAAACTACTAAATCATATCAAAACAATCGGTGGCCGCGTCATGGGCTCAGCACATTCACGTACAGCATTACGCACACATACCCATGCATTAATTTTCAATCAAGGACTACCAAGTATTTTCTTAACTCTCAATCCGGCTGATATTCATAGTCCCGTCGCATTATATTTTGCCGGCGTCAAACTTGATCTCGACAATGTTCAAAGAGAACAACTTATGGATACATACAGACGTGCCAAAATCATAACTTCTCATCCTGTTGCGACAGCTAAATTCTTTCATACGTTGATTTCCAATATCTTAGNTCCAAGCAGAACAACTTATGGATATGTCACAGTTGACATGAGAATTCAGTTGAAATTGGAATGCGCGAAAAAAAAATATTAGGTTGGCAAGAAATTTTTTTCGCTTTTTTCTCAAATATCCTAGAACAACCGAGAAAGTTCTGGAAGTTTCCATATTAAAGGTATATAAAGGGAGTACAGATAGCTTTCAAACAAAAATGAAATCATGAATATGGATGTTGATCTTAAATTAGAAACGAAGATATCACGTAGAGAGCTCAGAGTGCTTCTACTTCATGAATTCCGTTTTGGTCGCAAAGCAACGCAAGCAACACGCAACATATGTAGCATGATGGGCAAGGATGTATTCTCTGTCTGCACAGCGCAACATTGGTTCCATCGGTTCAAGAATGGCAACTTCGAGGTCGATGATTTACCTCATACCGGAAGATCATCTGAGGTGGATATCGACCGTTTAAAGCAGCTTATCGAAGAAGATCCTAGGTTGACTAGACGGTGTTTAGCAGAGCAGCTCGGATGCTCTCATACTACAGTAGAAACACATCTGGCGGATTTAGGCAAAACCTGCAAATATGGTGTTTGGATACCACATGAACTATCACCACATCAACTCTAGCACAGAGTCGATGCATGCATGGAATTAATGACGTCTCACCGCAACTACCAATGGCTGGAAGCTGGACAAACAGGTGTTGCCACACCCAAGGATGATCTTCATCCAAAGAAGATTATGCTGAGCGTCTGGTGGGGTGTCAAAGGAATTATTCATTGGGAAATTCTTCCTGCTGGCTGCACCATCACTGCTGACCTCTGCTGCCAGCAATTAGACCGAGTTGCAGCAAAACTTCAGGGAAAACAGGATAAGGTTTATTTTTTGCATGACAACGCCCGACCTCAAAACGGATCTAGCCAACTTCTTTGACCAAAAGTCTCAAGACTTTTACGAAGCCGGGATCTTTTCTCTGCCCGAGCGTTGGCGACAAGTCATAGATAGTAATGGTGCATACATTGTTGAAACCTAGCTGTATTCTTGAAGTTAAAGAATAAAAAGAAATTTTTCTACAAAAGCGCAAAAAATTTCTTGTCAACCCAATAGTATCACTGTTTCTCTTGCAGATGATATTGTTATCAGATCATAGAAGGGAAAACTATCCGTAGGACGAAATGACGAAAATTGCTTTCGTCCCATCCCCGTTGATGTCTGTCTTCGGAGAATCAATTACTCGCGATCAGACGTAGATACTGTCATTCGAGGACAGTTGTGAATGTTCAAAGACATCGGAGAAATTGTTTTTCAAGAACATTATTCTTCTACATAGAAGTGAAGGAAACCTCTGAAGATAGAAGATATTCTTGAGGGTGTGTCTGACCAATGGATGATTATTTCCAAGAAAAAAAAACCACACTCAATTCTCTGTATTCACCACGCATCCTCAACGTTGTCACTCTGTCATTGATGCCGGCAAGTCAAACGAAGGAAACTGTTTTTAGACTTTCGAATAGTCGACGAAAAGAAAAGTAGTTGAATATTGGTCAGAGAATGACAAAATCTCGATTGAAATGCGAAAAATATTCGTTCCGATTCTTCTGACGTTTATATAGTGGGAAAGGTTGTTCAATTGTCTGTCGTTTCTCTATTGATCCAACAGGTGATTTGTTCAGGTCTGTTTTCACTATACTCCATATGAATATACATGCCTGATTGACGCAAACTGGCGTACAATGATAATGCTTGAGAAGACTGATTCCATTCGGTAACAGTAAATTGTGCACGGATTAATTTCGGTAAATGAGTTAAGAAATACGTCACGTAACGTTCTTCCCGAAAAGTACATGTCAGTTGTTGAAGATTTGTAAATACCACACATAATTGCCATTGAATGTTATTCTCGTACGAGGAATACAATGAGTTCGTAATCGTTAGTTTGCGAATCATTCGCTGCAGATACTGACGTAATTCAGTATTCTCCAGCGATGATATCAAAGTATCAGAAGTCATTGTTAATGAAGTGACGTGCGGTGTTCTTCTCAGGATTTCCATAAGTACTGAGGGATTTTGTTGTCTGGAAAACTTTGAAACATCGAGATGTTTCACATGAGAGAAATTTTCGATTATACATTGGATATCATCCGGTCTCAAAGGTTCGAATATATATTCTTCATTGAAAGGCGATCGTCGTGGTTCACGGTGAGAAAAACGACGATAATGATGATAATCATATCTTTCCACCTCATTCGTACAGATCTTCAATTGTCTGACACGACCAAAGGTATTCTCGCCGTCGATAGTCGTATGATGAAATCGTCGCATCCCTGCGTGGAATTTGAACGTTGAAAATGCGTAGGGGACGGTGTAGATCATTCCTCTACAACTTGATAAGAAACATTCGATCGAATGATGACGTATGTAGGGCTGCAAACTATTTTGAAATGCCGTTAAATCTTCTTCGACATTTGATGGATATTTACTGCGGTGAAATCGAAAACAAAACTTGAAAATCTGCAGACGTGGTAGGTAAGTATGAAACCAATGGTTCCATTCGTCACTACTGAACCAATTAAACTGGAAATCAACAAACAATGTCAAACGACGTAAGTCTGGTGTGTGCACGATGATCATTTCAATATCGTTGAATCGATAGTGACTGTTGTTGATCACCAAATGTTGAAGAGAATGAGTGAATTTTTCCAAGTCATATCTGTCAGATTCTTCTGCTTCTCTCGATAAGTTATTGATTTGAAGATATTTCAAAGTGTGTATAGCATTCAATACTTGAAGTAATTGGTACCGATTACAGGTCTCTATAGTCAAACTTGTTAGGGGTACAAAGTATTGTAACAATGTGACATATCTCGATAATCGAGGAAGAGTCAATGTTCGTATGGGAAAACGACGTACTTGAGAAAATATCTCGTTCAGATCAATATTAGAATCTTTCAGATGAAAACATTGCAATGAAGGGACAGACCAGAGCATTTGTAGCAGTGCGGAATGATTGAAGTGATAGGCATCGATCAAAGTTAACGATTGGAGACTGGGAAACGTTTCAAAGGCAAACATTTCAAGAAAGAATTCAATCCACATTCCTTCATCTTTGTTGGACAAATGCAATGAATGAATAGATTCCCTCATGGAAGGATTTCGTAGCATTTCATCACAAAATCGTTGACATAGTGAATGTGGATAGTTCCGAAAGTGAAGATGGAGTGGAATGCATCGAATCAGTTCGTTGAAACGAGAGTTCAATTGATCGAATGAAGAAAAGATTTGTAAAGCATCGAGATGTTGAAAGCATTGGATGAGAATTTCATTGGGTAAAAGTTCGAAGCGAGTCACTGTTTGATTGTCAGTCATCTTTCTCTTTTCAATCGTTCGCAACTTTCTCTCCATTTATATAGTCATCGACGAGCGATGCAGTTAAGAAGGACTTTTTCCTTTCTTATTTTCGCATTTGTTCCCATCGTCGTGTGTTTTTTCCACCATCATCAATGTTGACACGTCGGGTTTCAAAGCATTATTCATGCAGTCGATTATGACGTATTGCAGAAACCTATAATTCATGTATTGGTGTATCAATTACGTTTAACTTCACAGTTGAATTCGACTGTTCAAATGCAGTGCCGGCTCGAAGTATTTTATTCAGCAGAAGGTAATCTGAATTTTGGTAGAAGTTTAACACGAAAGTTGTTTGCCATTTTGAAAACTGTGCACCCGTCATAGACAGAAGTGATGCAATAGCGAAGGCAGCGTTATAGAAAATTCCCCTAGAAATCGTTGAAGTGCAAAACGGAACGAACCTTCTTGTCACCTTCACATTTCGAGTACTCTATACAAAAAATCAGATCCCTATTCTCTAAAGAAACTTGGTCGCAAATACTGAGAGTGCTTTCTATTCCAAAACCATGGTAGACGTTACTTCTTCTCTTGTCCATATGCGTCTGTTTAGGTGTCCCCCTATTCTTATCCCTCTGACCCGAAAATACTGCTCCTATTCTTTTCACTTGTAACCATCTCCTTAGTATAAGAGTGAGGGTGAGTTTAAAAGTAGAATTTCAACGAATTCAAAGTTAAATAATCATATCTTCTGTCCACGGATATCGAATAATTTAGGACAAATGCGTGCAACCACAGTGATATGTCTAAGCAAGTACGAGCAACGTTGCAAAGAAAGATCATGAAATCAAAGCAGGAATCGAACCTACATCTTCCGCTAGCCGGTCGCGGTGATATGGGCTGACTACCGTTCTGACTTTTCGATCACATTATACACGAATGTTTGTTTTGTTTCTCTGAGTTTGTATGCGTTTTTAGATGTTTTAGTGGCTTTTTATTCGTTGGAAGCATCTGATATTTTGACCTACTCTCTGATTAGTATGTGTAGATGAGGGTTTGCAGGTATAAACCCTTTGATAGTGTTCATGCCGTCTTGAGGAGGAGGGTTGGTGTAGGTGTGGGTGAGTTTAAGAAAGAAAAAATATCCCTAAGCTATCTATGACGCGTTTCGTCCTTGCTTAAGGGACTCATCAGATAGAATTTTTGAGGAATATAGCTGCCAATAATGATATGAAAAACTCGAATCAATCACAAGAATCATTATAAGAGTAGAAATTACTCCGAACAGTTCATCATTGTGCTGTCGAGCTAGTTATCATCTTAAGTAGATATCCACATCTCCTCTATAATGATAACAATCACAATACAATCTGGTACAATTCACCAAGAACCATACAATAAACATCTTAACATAAACAATCCATTTCATCTATCAGAAACAAGTTATATATACGTATCACGAATACTTCATTCATCACCAGAGTATTTCCTTGCACAATAAAACTTCGCCAACATCACAAGCATTTCAAACACAGTGCTGTCAAACATGTAAAAAACAGCAAACGTATACAAACCTATTCAAACATTCTCCACCTGATCATCCGGCAATCAACCAAGGCAACGCCACACTCACCGCTGTTCCATAAAGTTCCTACTTACCTAACATACTAGAAGCACAGTACACAACAACATGCACGTTAAAAATTCTGATTCTTCCACTCCATTAACCATATCCAGCGGTCAAAAATCATATTAAGACCGAAATCTTGCTCGCACTTGACTAAAACTCGAGCAACGAAAATCCCTATCAGTGTACCCTGCACCCCGGAGTTTTTCTTGTTGATAATTGTTCGTGATAATCCGAACGTCAATAAAACAATCGCAAACATCAGGTAAGAAAATATTAAACCATTGTTTATTAGAAACAGCTCTCTGGCTTTGAAGGTGCAAAAACACCATGTTGGCAAGTTGAAGACATTTGTATCGACTTATGGTCTTAGTTCCATCATTCACCAGCACGCAAAGAAGATTTTATTAAAGTAGTCGATGATCTTAATGAAGCAGTTGAACAAACATCCTTTACTTTGTTGCTACTCGTTGGGTATTACTTGGTAAAGTTATTGATCGAGTTCTAGGTAAATCACTATCATTAACATATTTTAATATTACGCAAGATATTCTTGTTCCATAGTTCAATAGGAAGTTTTAAATGAGTATTTTCTTGTGTTCTTACCTGCAAATGATAAAACACAAATCAAAGGAAATAAAAACTACAATTCAATCAAATCTTGTTTAACATCACATGTCTCTAGAACTCGATTATTATTCATTTTCTATTTATGTCGTGCAATTTTCGATAACTTCTTAACAATATTTCAAAAATCTAGTCCAATGATTCATTTGTCATACGAAGAATTATCGAATGTAAGGTGCAGGCAATGCAAAAATCGAGTGAAATTTATTTTGACTTTTTTTATATGGTTTGATAGAGCGTGAGCTGCTGATCACGATGAACTACTTTTTATTCTTTTTAGAGCCTATTTTGTAGTCAAAAATCGCAAAATCCTTGAAAAACCCGCGTTTTCCCAAAATTCAGGTTTTTCGACAAAGTATGCAAAATTCACTATGTGATGGTTCTTAAAAACTTTTGAAAATATTTTTTTTAGATTCAGCATCAAAAACTGAATCTAGAAAATGTCTGAAATCATTATTAACCCAAAAAACTTTTTAATGGTGCTATTTCTCATGTGTTCCACTACACTACAAATAGGCGGATCTTGTAAACCTATCTACTTTTTGTAGGGAGGTCCGATCCCCAATATTTTTTTTGTTTTACTCCTCATACTAGCCTCTACAAAAGTACGCATCGCTTTTGTTTTCATCTCTTTTCTTCGAGGAGAAAAGTTCACTTTACTGATGATATAAGCAATCGGGGAGGTCATTCGGCTATTACACATCCATTTTTCAGCCAAATTGAATGAAAATTTTTTTCCAATGATAAAACTCGATGACAAATCGAATGAGCCCCATCCGGGGGTGTATCCTTAGTAAAGGTTTTCCAAGAGGTTTTCTGAAAAACCCTTATTCATAGTTAATCTATAATCATATACTATAATTCTGTTTATATTTTCTTTAAACAATATCTCTTATTGGCTTCATTTCTTGCCAGTTTATGAGGAGATTGGATTCGTTGTCTAACCCTTGATCACTCGTATGCACTTCATGTAATCTTGATCTCTATACTCGTATTATCTTTTCCAGGACATGTAATCATCGTCTTCATATTCGCACTATCTTTTCTAGGCATTGTAATCACTTTATATCTATGTATTAATGAAATCTAGGCATCTTTTCGTTCGGCGCGCGCCCTTATAAATAGATCCGTTTTATCTGATTTAAACATACAATATTTTAGCGATTCTTTCGTATTACAACAGCTATTTATCAATTATATTTGATTATTTTGTCATGCCTAAAACAAACAGAAGAACAACTCAATCACGTAGTGCATCAGCTCACCGATGGGAAAATGCGAGGATTCCAAGTCCACCTGATGTTCCAAATGATGACTATCATGTGGATGTGGATGTTAATGTGAATGTTGACAATTTAAAATTAAATTTTATGGAGAAACTTACACTTCTCAACATTGAAGATCTGGCTGAAATGTGTCGTTTAAAATGCAATACAAAATACCTTAGTGTATTACTCTACATGCCATTACGATATTTTAAAATTAAATGGAATAATATTGATGAATATCTAAAAGGTATAGGTTTAATGACAGCAGAAACGTCACACAATTGGGCTGCCACATTTTTGGATGGTGATCATAAAGAATTTGCACGTGATTTGCGTGGCGGCAAACATTCAGATTCACTTTATGATATATATCCAGAAATTGAAGCAGACGCCAAAGCATTTGTTGTAGAAAAATGTTCACAAAAATCGGGTGAGTTTAAAGCAATGGATCTGGTCCAATTTATTAACAAACAATGTTGTGAATTAAATGATATTGACGAACAAGTTAATGGTGGTTATATAAGATCCGAACGAAGTTGTCGCTTAGATCTTCGTAGATGGAGAGCGAAATTTGAAGCCAATGCACAACGCCCTTACTTCGAAGGACATGAAAGAAACGATGATGTGAAACATCGTAATGAATTTATAAATTATTTTTTGAAACACAAGGATTTTTATCATACCATTACTGAAGGAGAGGCACCTGCATGGAATCTTCCAGACAAAAGTCCTCAAAGAATATTAATATGTAAGTCAATTTGTTATCGCTTTTTTCTCTTTGTTTTTTTTGAATTTCGATTTGTCTCTAAAACAGTTCATGATGAATCGACCTTTCGCAGTGGTGAAGTTTGTGCAAAGCGCTGGTTCTTCAAAGAAAATACACCATTTTTTTCAAAAGGGCGTGGCCGTAGCCACATGGTTTCTGATTTCCCTGTTCAACATCCATCAGGACCATTCTTTGAACTTAATCAAGATGAATGGAAGCAAGCTGTAAAAAAATACCCATCATTAAAGATAAATGGCGACCTAGATTATGTTGAGCGAACTGCAACCGCAAGTATCAACATTGGAACTGATGCATATTTGAACAACGAAACAATCTTAAACCAGTTTGAACGATTATTTCAAATGCTGGAATTTAAACAGTATTATAAAAAACATCAAATTGATGTCATTGTCGATAACGCAAGAACTCATACGGCCAAGGCTTATTCACTATAAGACTTTAGAAAATCAGTGGGAGACCATTGCACAGTTGACTGTATCGAGTATCTTGATGAAGATGGTAATCCACATATTATTGATTGTTATTTTAAAGATGGAGAAAACAAAGGTAAATCGAAGGGTTTAGTTGAAATATGTAAAGATTTAGGTATACAACTCCCACCTAAAATTAAATTAGAAGAAATTCGGAAACTCTTGTCAGGATATCCAGCATTTCAAAACGTAAGTAAAGCAGTTCTCTTTCATTGAAAACACATCACGCACCATATTCTTTTACTTCTCTTTCTCTAGGTCACAAAACTCGAAACTCTTGCACTCAAATATAAAGTTAATGTTATATTTTGTCCAAAATATGATTGTGAACTCAATGCGATTGAGGGCCTTTGGTGCAGTCAAAAAGCATTTTGTTCGTTCACGTACAGACCAAACCTTCGAAAAAATGATTAAATTAATATCTGAATCTCGTGCATATTTTGTTGAAAGACAAATTGCACTAAAACTATTTCGTCGTTTTGGCATACAATTGAAGCATATTCGCAACGGCAAACATATGGTGACGTGTTAAAACTATTCTTTAGTCAATTATGTAGTGCATCTATTCAATCACATCGGCGAATATCAAACGATAACATAAACGACGACTGATAGATTTTTTTCTATATTGTACTGTATATCTATCTATTTATATTTAATAAAAAGCTATCAAAACATCTAAACTTGTGTTTAAAATATTCTCACATATTGTGTAAGATACTATGACCATACTTTAACAAACGGTTTTTCAGAAAACCTCTTGGAAAACCTTTACTAAGGATACACCCAGGAGGGGGCTCATTCGATTTGTCATCGAGTTTTATCATTGGAAAACAATTTTCATTCAATTTGACTGAAAAATGGATGTGTAATAGCCGAATGACCTCCCCGATTGCTTATATCATCAGTAAAGTGAACTTTTCTCCTCGAAGAAAAGAGACGAAAACAAAAGCGATGCGTACTTTTGTAGAGGCTAGTATGAGGAGTAAAACAAAAAGAAATATTGGGGATCGGACCTCCCTACAAAAAGTAGATAGGTTTACAAGATCCGCCTATTTGTAGTGTAGTGGAACACATGAGAAATACCACCATTAAAAAATTTTTTGGGTTAATAATGATTTCAGACATTTTCTAGATTCAGTTTTTGATGCTGAATCTAAAAAAAGTATTTTCAAAAGGTTTTAAGAACCAAAACATAGTGAATTTTGCATATTTTGTCCAAAAACCTGGATTTTGGGAAAACGCGGGTTTTTCAAGGATTTTGCGATTTTTGACTACAAAATAGGTTCTAAAAAGAATAAAAAGTAGTTCATCGTGATCAGCAGCTCACGCTCTATCAAACCATATAAAAAAAAGTCAAAATAAATTTCACTCGACTTTTGCATTGCCTGCACCTTACAAGTACAAGTACAGGTATATCCATGCACGTGCAAGTACTTGTACGTGTACTTTATATGTGTATACTTGTCCTACCTTTGCTTCCTCAACGATTGCCAAATCGTGGAATCGACTTACCACTTCATCATCATCATCTGTTGTTAAATTGAAAACCCACAGCACGTGGACAATTAAAAGAGCGAAATCATTCCTCTTTCTGTTCTTCCAGTGATAAGACGGACTAGCGTACACTTATATTCACTACGATTACAAGTCCAACTTCATTAATTCTTCCACACTCATTTACTCACTTTGCTTCGCTCTGATATACAAAACCAGGGAGAAACTGGTGTGTATGTCTGCCTCGGCTGAACAGTTCACACCTTTCGTTGGTCAACAACGACCATTAAACCCCAACCAATCGCAACAAACAAACAGCAACAATTTTTTTCGGTGAACAGAAGCAACAATCGAACGGTCCTGGATCGTTACTCATGAATCAACACGTATTACAGCAACTACAGAGCATATTGCAAATGCTACAGCTGGATTCGAACAATGCATTAGCTCAACTTTTATTGGGTCAATCAAGCCTTCTGGATCAACCGCAGCATCAGGAACCATTACCGACACACATAGGACCTCCGAACAACGATTTTACTTCGTCTGTCTCGATAGGAAATCATCCATTGGTCTCTTCAACTGCACATTCTCATATGGAAAATGGGCAGATGGTGCAAGCCAGTAAAAGACAAATCGGGGAAATTTCAAAATCCATGGACACAAGTCGAAACGAGCACCATGAAGACGATGAATAACAATTACGTCCAAATCAACGACGAACATCGACACAACCGAAAAAGCACAAGAATGATCAGATACCAACCGTCAAACAAATACCTATAGACCAAACTCTCCGAACAGGCATTGCACAAACAACAATTCAAACGTCATCGGAAATATCACTTGCTGCTCGTAGCTTTGCCACCACACGTTATCCGTTCGCTCCTTTCCATGTAATCTTCAAATCCGCTATCAAGGACCGATCGGCCATTGACGATATTGTCAAGTATGTGAAGAACGAACACAATTTTGATTTGAAAATCGCGGCATATCGTCATAAACTCAGCAAAAATGGCTATTCTTTACTTGTCTTCGTTGAAAACATTGAGGCATTTTGTTTCCTAAATAAAGATCTTAACTGGCCAAGCCTATTAGCTGAAGCCGAATACACCATTAAAAAACCCTCGATCCCACCACAACTGTGTCTAATTGTATTGAATGTTTCGTTGAATACTGACTGGGAGGAATTTGTTGGCGATGTGAAGGAACGATATCCTGAGGTGGTTAATGTCATTCGGCTGAAGAATCGCAACCAACGACCAGTACCAACGGTAAAGATTGAAACTTCATGTGCAACTACACGTGAATCTATTCTTCAACTAAAACAAATGAACATAGGCTACATCAACTACAAAGTCACCGACTATCTAGCACCTGCACAGGTACTATTATGTGGTAACTGCTATGAGATAGGTCACTTTCAGAAAAACTGCCCACTGAAGGATGAAACCATTTGTAAAACGTGTGGTGAAAAATACCGAGATATTAAAGAACACGTATGTTCAGGACAAGCAAAATGTATTAGGTGCGGCGAAAATCATAAGTCATCGGATCCAAAATGTCAAATGGTGAAATCCTATCGTCCGGCGCTCACGCGTAACCTGTTACAACATCCTGTGGAGAACTCCAAAAGATACGCCAATGACATATCCCCTGNTTTTTGTGAACATTTTCTACAACAAATGCTTTGGCGTCTGCTTCAATTTCCGGATATACGTATATCATAAAATGAATCTGAATGTTTGCCGCCACGCAAATCACGTGCAAATTCTTTATGATCACCACCCAGGTCAAAGCTGTACGGCGGGAACCGGCCGGATCCGTTAAAGTTCCCGTGAATTCCTGAAGGAGGACTCGGAAGCCGTATCCCGACCCCGTTTCCGGCCTAATTCCCAGGCATTACTGAATCAGGATTCAAGACGCGGATCCTGTCGCAGTATCCCGGACGGATCCCGATAGCGTTTCCGTGTTTTATTTACGACCTTCCGAGTACGCATCGTATCCGGGCGTTTCCTCGGCGGTTCATGTCGGTTAATTTATTGGTATTTTACGAGTTACCGGATACGGATCATATCCGATGTTTTCCGGCTCATCGGAGGGTAGCCGAAATCCGGCGTCTCAAGCCGTGCACGTATTTCAAATGCGATATTTAGATTCTCAATCAAATCATATTGGTCGATCTGTGTTTTACTAAATATTTAAACTAGAATAAGATAATTTCTTCATGTTTGAGGAATTTTGTATGCTTTTAAGGAGTTTACTGATTTCAGCACACATCCAGTGGTGAAACGTAGGATTTCTTTAACATTCATCCAAAATCAATATAATACATTAAATACTAAAGAAATTCATAGTCTCTCAGGAGTAAATGTTCTTCAGTGAAATGCTAAAAATTTATCAAAATGAAAAGCTCATAAGATCCAGCGATGATCATTTTCCATCGTTCGAACCTACTCAAACGTTTTAAGTGAAAAAGCAACGAAATGAGCAAGGGAATCCGTTCACAACCATTGAAATCTGAGTAAAATCGCTCAAAACTACGATAGAATCTATAAAATACTTCATTGTAAATTGGAGAAATTCACACGCCGTTTATATGAACTCGGTTGCAAACCGTATTAAATTTACAAAGGATGGAGTGAAATCCAGCGTAAATGTAAGTGAAAATAAACTGATTCTACATTATAAAGTCTGAAATTAATTAGAATGACTGCAAGTCGTTCGAAATTATTTAACTAGATAGATAATATTTTTCTCTGCTGTACATATTTCTATAATTCGTTGATGACTTGTACTGATTGTTAGTGATTTCACGATTTGAAATTTATTGAGATCACAGCAGTTATGGAATCATAATAATGCACGAGAAACTTTCGTAAGACTCATTAAAAATCATTAGAAATCTAAATCAAATCTCTACGAAATTTTCAAGAATTGCTTAATTCGCTAGCTGATCACCGAAAATCAAATGAGTTAGTCAAGATTAATGGACTTCATTGAAGATCAACGACAACGAGGGATGACACCTACTCCATTGGTTTTTTCCTTACTCATTATCAAAAATATATAAATTTCTTCTTCATCATTGCCTAGAATATCTACTCGATGCTCTCAAATTCAATGCATAATGGAGGAATGCATTGAATGACTGATACTATCAAAACCCGTTACCTATGTTCTTGTTTATTAAACTACAACTAAAAGCTTTTTTCCGGCAAGTTTATAACCACTTGATAGAGTGAACATTCAACCAGTACTTCAAATATCCCGAAATTCTAACGACTCGGTACTAATATCAGAAATTTTGTAAACTTTAGAGGGACTGAAATGGTTAAGTGAAAGTTTTTCGAGCCAAATGCAGTTCTATAAAGTCATACAGCATGGATACGAGTTCAGCTTAGTGGTCCATGTGAATAAAATTTTGAATAGACTCATCTTACTTTCGTTTCAAAATATAATGCACAATATTACTTTGTCAAAAAGTACTAAATCAAAAAATAGTGTTCTGCTTATTAGATATAGATCACTTCTGACTGGCAGATTCCGCTATCCAATCGAACAATTGAAATGAATTATTCATATCGAATATATATTCGAAAACTGCATGAATTCAGTTCAAGCGTTGGCGACTAAATCAGATAGTTGACTGAATTTATGTCGTTAACATCGATTTTATGAGATTTTTCTGGTTTTAGATAAACCTATTTACTATATTATCATGGCACCGCATGATGATGTTGAAATACAGCTTGCATTGCAGCATGCGAAGAAGAAGAAGATGCACCGTTTGTTGAAAAATCAAATTCAACGTCGAAAAAGTCGCTTAAAGTACCACTCTAGTGCATATTCTTGCAGCCCAACTGTGATGGCACAGTCATTAACAAAACATATCTCTTCGGTAAATCTTACACCGTCTTGTGGGCAACCCGTTTTACAAGATAATCTGTCGCAAACGTCACCAACAAATAATAATACGGAAGATGAAAAAACATCGAAGAGCAGTAATTCGCCAAGATCAGTTGATACATATTTTAACCTTGACAATATTGTTTACTCCGAGACCGTGTATGATTTAAATCTTCATCCATATACAATGACAAGTTGCTTGTCATTTTCAAAACAGCTTATTCAACTAATGCGAAAATCTAATATCTCCAAATCTAATGCCAATCGTTTCGTGAAGTTAATACAATCTGCTCTTCCTCAGCCAAATATTTTGCCTAAATCGTATTCTGCGATGTTAGATTCGCTATCAGGTAAATGAACCTACCTGCTTGTCTCTTTATGATCAATACCAAGTAGCGCACGCATAAGAATATACTTTAATTTTCGCATCAGAAGCCATACATTGTCAAGCTCACAGAATGTTTTTGTAAAATGATTATGTTAGCTAGAACGTTTTTCAAAACGTTTATTTATTATGATTATATTAAAATGTCTTTTGATTTGTGTTTCAGTTGAAAACTTATTTGTGAAACGAGTTGTGTGTATTAAATGCAAAGCGGATTTACGGGCGAAATCAGCTTCATGCCTCCCATGTTCACGTGACAATGAGAGACACCTAGCATTTATCTTCGATTCAGTTCAAGAAACTGTTTTTACTCGAGTTTACAATCGATTAAAATCTGTGATTGATACGTATCAGACAATTTTTACAAAGAACGAAGCTGACAATAAAACAAATGATCTTGTGTTCAACAACAACTACCAGTTCCTACGTGGCTGTACTAATCGTCCCTTAATGAGTTTATTACTGCATTTGGACGGCATCGATTTGGATAGATCGGGAACATTACATCTATGGATTTTGAGTTGTTCGATCTTAGAACTACCACCTTCTATTCGAACTGAGCGACAAAACAATGTAGTATTATCGTTGTGGGTTAGTAAAGAATATCCAGATATTAATCTATGGCTCGATCGTTGTTTTGGTCAACTGGTAAATTTAAAAGCTAAAGGTATAGTAAAACTGAGAAATCAATCGAAAGTTTGTTTCCTACCAGGAGTATTACTGATGTAGAAAATATTCTCGTTTTATTCCCTCGACTGAAAGGAGGGTCATGCGAAAAAAAATAGTTTGTCTGTCTGTCTGTGTCAGGGTCAAGGGTCAAAGGTCAAAAAAACATTTTTTCG